AAATACACTGAGTGGCCAGATTATTATGATCTGGCCACTCAGTGTGTGTGTATAGAGGCCCAGTGCATGAATTCATGCATGGGTGGGGTCTGGCCAGCCTGGCCAGAGGGAGGGGACATGGGCAGTTGGCGGCCTGCCTGCTAGTCAAAATTCTGATTGAGGGGAAATCTTGCATGTTAACCTTTTATTATATATGATATATACTGAGTGGCCAGATTATTATGTGTCCAGAGATCATAATAATCTGGCCATTCAGTGTATATATTTTTTATTAATTTCAGAGACTAAGGGAGAGGGAGACATAGAAACATCAATGATGAGAAGGAATCATTGATCGACTGTCTTCTGGGGATGGAGCCTGAAACCTGGGCATGTGCCCTTGACTGGAATCGAACCCAGGACCCTTCAGTCCGAAGGTTGACACTCTATCCACTGAGCCAAACTGGCTAGGGCTGTTTGCACTTCTTGGGTGTCCTGGCTCAGAGGTCTTGCTGAGCTAGCTCCCTGGTCGGGGTAAATGTGGATGAGTTCTCATCTGCACCCCCAGGTCCTGGACAGTCATCTCTCCTCGAAAGTAGTTCCCCCAAAGGCAGGGAGGAGGAGGAGGAGCCTGCACTGGAGGCGGTAGTGGTCACCGCAGTCCCTCCTCACAGGACTGGAAACCAGAAGTGAGCCTGCATTCAATGACTGGGGCTGCTCAAGCCAGCTCTGGCACCTTGAGGAAGTGCCAGCCACTGGCCACACATAGCTAGCTTACATGGGGGCATGGAGATGCACATGTGAAATACAATTGAGAAAAAAAAGCAAGATGCAGATCAGTAAGTGCACATTGATTACAATGCTATAATTTTTAACATATATTTTTAATTGATTTTTCACAGAGAGGAAGAGAGAGGGATAGAGTTAGAAACATCAATGAGAGAGAATCATCGATCAGCTGGCTCTTGCACACCCCCTACTGGGAAGTGCCCGCAACTAAGGTACATGCCCTTGACCGGAATCGAACCTGGGGCCCTTCAGTCTGCAGGCCGGCGCTTTATTCACTGAGCCAAACCGGTTTTGGTGCAATGATATAATTTTTTAAAGCCTCAATTCCAGGGTCACCTCCTCCAGGAAGCCCTCCCGGTTCCCTCAGCCCGGATGAGGTGCCTTCGCTAGCACTTGGGAGTGTCTGTCCCACAACTGAGCCTGCCGCAGCATCCTATGTTCCTCCCTGCGGGTCTCTTCCCGGCAGAGGATGGAGTCAGGAAAGCCATCTTCAGTAATGTGTGTCCCCAGAAGCTGAGCTGGTGTGGGCGCCCAGTTCATGCTTGCAGACCTGAGCTGGACGAGAACCAGAGGGGAATTTAGGGGAATTTAAGAGCTTGACCCACTTCCTTGTTTTACTCTGATTTCCTGAGTACAAGGAGGTCACGACGCAGGCCAGGGCGGGGCTGCACTCTCTCCTGGGAGCAGTCCCCTGTCATCACCCGGGTTTTCTTGGGCGTGGCCAGGGGGTGTCAGAACCCCGATGCCGGAGCTGAAGGGGCCTCCACCGACCAGCCAGTTCCCGGTGGTTCTCGGGCTTTTTGCTGCCTCCTTCCTGAAGGTCCTTGGAGCCTGTGCTGACCGTGGACAGACAAGCTGCCTCCACAGGGCCTCGTGCACAGACGGTCCTCAAACTGGCTGCTGCTCTTCCTCTCTGGCCATTTCTCAAGCATCTCAGCCCCTCCTGTATGCCAGGCCCAAATGGTCCCTATTCTCGGAGAAGTCCTAGGTCTTGGACCCCTGCTCCTGGAGCCTCTGTACCGTCGTCTATGTATTAAAAAAAATATTTTTGTTGATTTCAGAGAGGGAGAGAGAGAGAAACATCAATGGTGAGAATCACTGATTGGTTGCCTCCTGCACACCCCCTACTGGGGATCAAGCCTGCAACATGGGCACATGGCCTTGACCAGAATCGAACCTGGGACCGTTCAGTCGGCAGGTGGATGCGCTATCCACTGGGCCAAACCAGCTAGGGTTGTGCTGTTGTTTCAAACTGTCTGATCATGATCATTTGCAGCCTCTCCCTCCAGACCCCCCCCCCCCCATCACCTGTAACCACACACCCCGAGACTTGAGAAAGTACCTCCAGCAGAGGCAGCTGTCTCCTGGCCTAATACACACTCTCCTTTTAAAGAGGAAGCCCAGGGGCCTGGGCCCAGGGGAGTCAGGATCATATTCGAGAGCAGGACACGGCCCCTCACCTTTCTGGAAAAGTCACACCCAGAAAGGGCCCAGACCTCTGGAGCCCAGGCCAGTGCACACGGAGGACCCAGGGGGCCACAGCAGGCCGGCTGCGGAGGAGCCAGCGAAGGGCGGCCACTGGGACCACTTATGCGGAGCACAGCTTGTCCCCGTCGGCCTGGGCTGCCCGCGCCAGGGTCAGCTGAGTTGCCCTGTTTACTCAGGGACAGACCTGCCCTCACCCCTTGGAATGTCTGGCTGCGGCCTGCCCCGCACCGGCCAGCTCTGCCCCAGGCCCGGCGCCAGGCAGGGAGGAGCAGGAGCGACACCTGGGGGACAGAGGTCAAAACGCACACGTTTATTTTCTGGAACAAAGGCTACGAGAAGCAAGTTTCTTTCGTTTTTATTTTAAGAAGGACAAAAATCGTTATTAAAACATCTACATTATTATTATCAAGATACTAGACCTTATGGATATTTAATATTAAAGTGTGGTATTCTTAAGATTTTAATACACGTTTTTAAAAGGACCATTGCATTGATTCCTGCCCGGCTGGGAGATGCCGCCCCGAAGGGACTCTCCGTCCAGGGCGCCTGCCCCGTTGCCACGTGGCCTGACCTCTGGTCCCTGCCCGATGGCGGCGGGCACAGGCCCTGGTTTCCCTCCCCCGGCCTCCCTGTCAGGATCACCACAGAAATCATGGCCCTGGGCAGAAATCTCCCTGCCTCCTGCGAGGGCCCCAGAGCGGCCAGGCCAGGAAGGCCCAGATCCGGAGGCCCTGGGACCAAAACGGGTTGAAGAGGATTGGTGACTCCTCCTCACCTAAGGGAAATCCTCGGCTGTTCCTGCGCATCCCTGCTCTCTCCCCAGGAGGGGGCGCTGGAAGCTGCAGGCAGAGCCAGGCCCCTGCAGAGCCCCCTCTGCCTGCGGCCCAGTCACCTCTGGCCCTGGCCCAGACCTCTCTACCTTAGACCAGGGCGGCTGCATTTCCCGGCCAAACTCCTTATCCTTAGCCCTCCACAGAAGTGATTGGTTGGATACCACACACATATATAATATTATATAGAGCGATATATTTAATACCTGTGTATATATGCATCACGGGGCCACATATATACACACTAGAAACAAGGCTGGTGACACACGGCAACACCACGGGTCGGGGAAACAAGTGTTGTGGACGTTCAAGGCCATGGCCCCCACGCTGGGTGTGGTCTCTCCTGCCCCCAGCCACGCCACCAGCACCCACGCTGCAGGGCTGGCCCGCGGGGGAGGGGGCAGGGGACAGGGGGAGGGAGGGATGCATGCCAGTTATTGGGGGAAGGGTGGGCAGTGGTGGCAAGAGAAACAGGCTTCTCTGAGCCCAATGCCCGTCGTCCTGTCATCACACACTGTCGATCCTTGCTGGAGGAGAAGGAAGGGTGCTCTATGCCCTCCGTCTCACCCCCGACCCCAGCCTGGGTCCCTGGTTCCTTCTGGGGGGGCCCCACTTTTGTGCCAATGGTGTGGGGCGTTCTGGAATGTCTGGGGAACCAGGGGAGACCGGGCCTGCGCACAGGGGGTGGGACGGAGAGCAGAGGGTGCACACAGACATCAGACCACACGGGGACAGGAGAGGGGCGTGGTGGGTGGGTGGGGGCAGGAGCTGGGGGGTCAGCTGGGGTCCCAGGCAGCTGGCAGGGCCAGGGAGCAGGGAGGGGCCAGGACAGACAGTCATGATTGTATTTCTGGGTCTCAGGGAGAAGGAGGAAAGGACTATGCTGGGCCCTCCCAAAAGAGGGGCTGTGTCTGGTCCTCGAATGGCCCATGATGCCCCAGGGTCATGTCTCCCTTCTCTCAGCATCCCCTCGCCTCCGTACCTCATTCCCTGCCCCTCCGACCTGTCCCCGAATCTGCTGGACGCTCCCCACAACCATCCTCGGGAGAGGACTTCCCCTCCTCCGTGCGGACAAGACCAAACCCCTGAGCTTCCTTCCTCAGCCCCCGGGTGGCGCTGCCTGGGACCCCAGCTGCACAGCAATCCAGAGGCGGTCCCCCAGCTAACGACGGGCCCTGAGTCTCCTGGCCAGTGTGCACCTCCTGCTGTGGGATGGAGACCCCGTGTGGATCACGCCTCCCCTTCGGGCCTCCCTTTTCCTACCTGCAGAATGGGAGCTTCGGGCTCTGAGGACCTACGATCTGCACTCAGTGGCTCCGGAATGAGAGGGGCCGGGCTGGCGGCCACACGGAAGGGCCAGAACCCGGAGGTCACCGAGCCCAGCCCCTCCCACCCTCCCAACCGGAGGGAATACGGAGGCCCGGAGGGTGAGGGACCCACACCGAGGCCCAGAGGGTGAGGGACCCACACCGAGGCCCAGCTCCATTCACCTTGGGGCTGCGTTTTAAAGCTAACGGGGCCTCCCGCCCTCTGCGGTGACCTGACCTGTCCCCAGGGAGGCGGGGGTGGAATGAAGGCGGGCAGAGAGGACCCTCCTGCTGCAGATTCAAGTGGGGACCCCGGGCTCCCCAGCCCTGAGCTTCGGGCCCCCTTTGGGAGCAGACAGAGGTTAAAGCTGGAGCCGGAGCCGGAGGTGTCCGACCAGGGGCGCTGGGGCTGGGGGGGAGGGGGCTGGGACCCCTGGAGCCACAGCACGTGCCCCCGGCTTGCACACTGGGTGGCGGGAGCAGACGGGATGGTGGGTAAGGGCCTCCAGGGCCAGGGGCTGCCTGATGAGGACGGCCCCCCCGCCCCCAGGCCCCCCGTTCCCATCCACACCCCGGGCCCTAGGACTTCACCCACGATGAGGCCTGGCTACTCCCCGGGGCCCGCGGCGGCGGCGGGGGCGGCGGCGGCGGGGGCGGCGGGGGCAGCGGGGACTCCGGGCGTGGCGCCCGCGGCGCCGTCCTCCTGCAGCAGGAAGTTGTATTTGCCGAAGTCGTCGTCCCGCGGGCACAGCAGCATGTCCTTGCGGGCCTTGGCCAGCTTCTGCTTCAGCACCTCGCGCCGGTCCAGCCACTCGCTGAGCTCCTCCTGGCCGTGGGCGCAGCGGCACTTGTCCCCGTCCGGGCAGGCCTTCCCCTTCTGGAGCCTGTGGGCGGCAGGAGGCTCACTGCCCACGCCCTGTGCCCTGCCCACCACGTGCTGCGGGGCCTGGGCCAGCCGCTAGCCTCCCCCAGGGCTGGTGGCCGGACGTCCCGATTTTTAACAATGCGTCCTGCGTGTTTCTAAAAAAGTCCCGATTTAAAAATAAATAAATAAATAAATAAATAAATAAATAAATAAATAAATAAAAATCGGGACTTTTTAGAAACTATGAGGGACGCGGGACAAATTGTTCTTTTTTGTTTTAATATTTTATTGATTATTTTTTTAGAGAGGATAGAGAGAGAGAGAGAGAGAGAGAGCTAGAAACGTTGATGAGAGAGAAACACCGACCAGCTGCCTCTTGCACACTCCCTTACCGGGGATATGCCCGCAACCAAGGTACATGCCCTTGACCGGAATCGAACCTGGGACCTTTCAGTCCGCAGGCCGACGCTCTATCACTGAGCCAAACCGGTTTCGGCAACGGGACAAATTGTTAGAAATCGGGACTGTCCCGCCAAAAGCGGGACGTCTGGTCACCTTACCGAAGGCCAGCTCCACCCGGGAGTGGCTTCGGGGCTGCTGCATGCTGGGGACCCAGGGGTGCAAAGTGGGGTCTGGCCAGGCCCACCCACAGCACCCCTCCAACCCTGCCCTGCCCTGCCCGGTGCCAGGCTCCTCATGCCCAGGACACACCACCCCTGAGTGCCATCTCCAGACCCAGAGGCGCCGGAGCTGGGCACGGCCCGTCTCCTGGGGCCCGCCCGCCCCGCGGCACCTGTCGCACAGCCGGAACTCGCCCATGGGGAAGCGGTAGGCCCAGCCGCTGGCATCGCTGTCGGACGTGAAGACCTTCTCCTTGTGCTTCTCGGACTGGATGTGCTGCTGCCACTGCTTCTTGCTGTTGCTGTTCTTGCCGCAGAGCCAGCAGTGGTAGCCCATCTGGGGGCACAGCCACCGTGGGTGCCCGCTCTGCACCCCCCGCCGGGGGCTGGGCCCCTCCCCGCCGCCCGGGCACGCGGCCGCCGGGAGTTACCATGATGTCGGCGTAGTCCGTGGGCATCTGGATCTGCTTCTCCCCTTCCCGGGCGCCGAGGGGGGTCCCTTCCCCCGGCTTCCCCGGGTTGTGCTTCTTCAGCCACATGTCGTAGGTCTGCTGCATGTCCAGGACTGCAGGGACACGGGGGGCAGAGTGCATGGGGCGGGCGCTCCCTCCGTGTCGCCCCGGGACCCCCGCCGGGGAGCTGGGGGCTTCTCGGGCCCCCGGAGAGCAGACCAGGGAGCTGGCCTGGGGCGCCCGGAGAAGGGCTGGTGGCCAAAGCGCTCTCGGTCTGCTGAAGGGCCGGGGTGCCGGCAACGAGGGGACCCAGGGCCGGCCTGCACTCACTCTTGTTCTCCTTCATGAACGTCCACATGTCCCGCTCCTCGGGGCTGTGCGCGAAGGAGCAGTTCCCCACGTACTGGCACTTGCGGCCGTTCTGCGCGTGGATGCAGAGCTGTGGGGGCGAGGGCGGGCCTGCTGGGTATGGGCGCTGCCGGACGGCGCCACTGCCCACCAGGGGGCACCCCTCCGGGCCCACGGCACCCCCCCCACCCCCGTGCTCACGTCGTATTGCTGTGGGAAGTTGCGAATGGACGGCAGTGGCCTCACTGACACCCACTTCCTCTTGGCCTTGGACATCACCAGCAGGACCCGCCGCTCCTTGGTCCAGCTGCCGGGCAGAGGGGGCCGTCGGGGAGGGCGTGGGCAGAGCCTCTGGCTGTGTGGCCTCCGCAGAGAGCCGTGGCCTCCTCACCCGTGGCACTCAGGTGGCCCTCACCCAGCGCGTGCCAATGCCCCCACCCAGGCCATACCCGCTCACTCACCAGTGCCGGGCCTTGGCGCTGCAGTACTTGAGGTCTTTGTCAGGCTCCACCACCTGCCCGTTCCTCCAGCACTGGCCACACACGAACTTCATCTGCAGGTCAAAGGTGCTGGGCCCGTGTGTCCGCGGGGCACCCTGTGGGCAGAGGGGCTGGTGAAGCTCAGGCACCAGGGCTACGGCCTGAGGTCCACCATGAAGGTCCCTCAGGGGCATTCGGACTGCCCGGAGCCTTGGGGCTGGCAGGAAGTGACCCACGGCAGCTCCAGGCCCATGGCCTCTCCACGCGGGAGCGAGGCCTGGAATGGGAGGCCTGACTCCTGAGCCGGGGCTCTCCGCCTTGGCGGGCTGGTCCGCACCGGCCTGGCCTGTGGGGCTGCTGGCATTCTCTGGGCACGGCACGCGACCTCACAGCTCCCCGCCTTCGCACACGCCCTTCCCTCTTCCTGGAATGCCCTTTGTCTGCCCTTCATGGGTTTGGTCTAGAAACTTCCAAGACTCAGCTGGAGCACCTCCTTCAGGAAGCCTTCCTGGAGCTCTCCCAGAGCAGCTGCCCATCCTCCGCGCTCCCACCGCCCCTCAGCGCCCCCGTGGCGAGGGGCTCCTCCAGTTCCTGGGCCGGCCCGCGGGAGAGCAGGCCCGGGAGGCGGACAGCCGGGCCGCGGAGGGGGAAGGAGGGGCCTGCGCTGGGCGGAGGGACAGACCACGGGGCAGCCCTGGACTCTCCAAGGCCCCGCGCGTTCACGCCCGTCCTCTGCCCGCAGGCAGGAGCTCCTGCCCCTGAGCGTCCCTGGGCCGGGGAGGGCCAGGCGGGGAGAAGATGCCACTCAGCCTCACGCCCTGCAACCGCGCTGTCCCTCCGCTAGCTGGAGCCTCCGGCTCCCTGGGTCTGATAGGGGCCGCCCCTCCGGGCAGCACTGTCCTCTAGGCTGCAGGCTCGAGTCCCCTGCCGTGGGTGCGCTTGTTCCTGGCACTGCCCAGCCCAGGGGCTGCCCTGGGGCAGGAAGGGGTTCTGCCCGTCAGGTGCTGACGGAGCCCTGGCTGGGCCCCAGGGTGGCACAGCTGTCCCGATGATGACATAAACCCTCTCCTTAATCACCGGCCTCGGCCTGCGCCGGAGCACACAGGACGCTTATCCGCGGCACACTGATGTCTACGTGTCCCGCCGCATGCCCCCTTTTCCTCCCTCCCTCCCGCTACCCTTCCTTCCTTTCTTTCTTCCTCTTCTTTAAAAAAAAATATATATATTTTATTGATTTATTTTACAGAGAGGAAGGGAGAGGGATAGAGTTAGAAACATCAATGAGAGAGAAACATAGATCAGCTGCCTCCTGCACACCCCCCACTGGGGATGTGCCTGCAACCGAGGTCACATGCCCTTGACCAAATCAAACCTGGGACCTGTCAGCCCGCAGGCCAACGCTCTATCCACTGAGCCACACCGGTTAGGGCTGGATGCTCCCCTTTCCACAGGTGAGGTGAGGGAGGCCTGGAGGGGCACCGTGGCTCGGCCGCTGGCGAGTGAACTGCCACACCGCCCACTCTCACAACAGCCACCTCCCCCTCCCCCTCGCTGCAGCCAGGGGGGAGGGGGGTCATTCCCGTCGGACGGGGAAGCAGAGGCTCAGCGAGGTCACTGACCCACCCACAGGCGGGCGGCCGAGGACGGACCTGGCTGAGGCGGGTGCTCCTGCTTCTCTGCAGGCGGCACACCTGTGCCACGGGCACGGCCAGGCACCCTGGCATCTGCCTCCCGGGCCCCCAGTGCCACTGCCCCACCCCACGATGGCAAACAAACAAGACGCCGGTGCCCACGTGGCCGGGCCTGGCACAGAGCCCTGCTCCGGAGCCAGGCCTGAGAGAGGCGTCTTGGTGGGGAGGTGGGGCCTGGCAGCACGAGGGCGTGGAAAGCTGTCAGGGAGCCTGGAGCCGCCAGGCCTGCCCCGTTCCTGGGGACGCCGGCAGCTGGCCTGGGCAGGACGAAGGGGTAAGGACAGGTGGCAGGTTCAGCCTTCTCTCTGGAGCAGCGGTTCTCAGCCCCTCTAGTGCCCGGCCCTTTAATCCAGCTCCTCATGCTGTGGCGACCCCAACCATAACATTATCTTCATTGCGACTTCACAGCTGTCATTTCGCTACTGATAACGAACTGTAACGTAAATGTCGGTGTCTGCTGATGGTCTTGGGCTCTGTTGCCACCCACAGGCTGAGAACCGCTGCTCTAGAAGATGCTGCCGGTCCAGGCTTAGCCCTCACTGGTGCCCGGCCAGGAGCAAAACTGCGCCGTGGGAGAAGGCCAGGGGAAGGGAGCCGCCAGGAACGGGGGAGAGAAAGGAAAAGGACCAGCAACGAGGGGGCTGAGAGAGGGAAGGCCCGAGGGGCTGGGCAGCTCTGTGGACCGACCAGCCCGCCCTGCTCCCTGCCACACCCAGGCTGGCCTCCGGTGGGCCTCAGCGAGGGGGTCGTCCCTCAGGTGTGGATGGCACAGGGCATCATATCACTGTCACCGTCTCCTGTGCCGTGAGGCCACCCCTCTGGCCCTGCTGTCCTCCAAGTTACAAGGACCCGGCCTCCTGGGGCAGGGGTGAGGAGGGGCTGGCACAGAGGGACTCGGCGAGCTGCAGCGTGATCGGCTCCTGTGAGTCTCAGCCCCCCCCCGGGAGATGGCAGGCAGGACGATGGTCCCCATCTCATGGACGAGGAGCCCTCGGGGGTGAGGGGCCTGGTGCAGGGCAGGGCGGGGCGGAGCAGGGGGAGCTCCAGACCAGACGTCAGAGACGCTGGGACTGACTCCGCTAAGGGTGCCCCTGGGCAGGCCTGGGCATGCCGAGCCTCCGTGGACACGATGCCACGTGCCATCTTCGGGACCGGGGTGAGGCTCACGAGGGTGGAGGCCATACAGTCCGCGGTGACAGTGTGAGGAGCAGGGGACACTGACAGGGGCTCAGGAATCTCCCGGAGACGGCTATGGACCACAACGGGGGACGCATAACCTCACAGCGGAGAAACCTCATCTCACGTCCTCACCAGGGAAAGGACACATCGGACCCCGTGCCGCCCGGGGAGGGACCGGGAAGAACAGAGCATCTCCCTGAGGTCTGAGGAACCACGGACAATCCCGGGTGGCGGGCCTTTTACCGAGCAACCGGCTCTTCACAATGCCAAGGTCACGGAGACAGAGAGACGGAGGGGCTGCTCTGGGTGAAGGACACTAAAGAGACACAACAGCCGAAACCGGTTTGGCTCAGTGGATAGAGCGTCGGCCTGCGGACTCAAGGGTCCCGGGTTTGATTCCGGTCAAGGGCATGTACCTTTTTTTTTTTTTTTTTTTTAATATATTTTATTGATTTTGTACAGAGAGGAAGGGAGAGATATAGAGAGTTAGAAACATCGACGAGAGAGAGTCATCGATCAGCTGCCTCTTGCACACCCCCTACTGGGGATATGCCCGCCACCAAGGTACATGCCCTTGACCGGAATCGAACCCGGGTCCCTTCAGTCCCCAAGCCGACGCTCTATCCATTGAGCCAAACCGGTCTCGGCAAGGGCATGTACCTTGGTTGCGGGCACATCCTCAGTGGAGGGTGTGCAGGAGGCAGCTAATCAATGATTCTCTCTCATTGATGTTTCTAGCTCTCTGTCCCTCTCCCTTCCTCTCTTTAAAAAATCAATAAGATGTATTTTTTTAAAAAGAGACACGACGGGAAGGCTGTGTGGTGCTCGGGATCGGGAACGACTCGCAAAACCTGAGCGCAGCACGCCAGGCTCCCACGGGTGCCCCGATGCCAGCTGTGTGCTGACAGCGGCCCCGTGGTACTGCGGAAGGCAGCGCCTGCGTCGTTAGGAAACACACACCGGAGAATTTAGGGGAAATGGGGCATCGTGTCCGCAACTTATTCTCAAATAGTTCATCAAAAAAGAGTGTGCGTTCCGTATATAATATAAATATATACGTGTAGGGACACGGACACACACACACACACACACACACACACGCTCACAGGACAAAGCGTGGGATGTGGTCAAATGCTAACATCCAGGGAATCCAGGAAAGGATACACATGCTTGATGTACGATTTATAATTCTTATCATTTCCTGGCCAATCGGAAATCACGTGCGCCCCGAGGCGGGGCCTTACCAGGCCGCTGCTGGCCTTCCCGGCGTGCGCCTCCATCTGCTGCCAGTACTTCTTGGATTCCTGGACGATGTCTTCGTGGGTCATGCCTGGGGGCGAGGGCGGACCCGGTGTCCTTGACGGCGCTCGGCGGCCAGGAGAGGCAGCGGCCTGTGAGGTGCAGGTGCCCCCGCGGCCCGCCTGCCTCTGCCTGCTCCCGGCTGTGCCCGGAGAGGAAGGAGCCTGGGCCCCCTGAGCCGCACCCCGGCTGAGAGCACCAGCTCCTCCCGAGGCAGCCCCCCAGGAGCCCCCCCTCCCCGGCGGGCCCTGCCCCCCCCCCCCCCGCAGGACCTGCCCTCCACCTGCCCCCCCCCCCCGGCGGGCCCCGCCCCCACCTGAGTACTGCTGCAGCAGCCAGACTTTGAGCTCGATGAAGCTGTGGGCGAAGTGGCAGCTGTCCTCCCGCAGGCAGCCGTAGCGCACCTCGTGGCGGCACACGTCGAACTGGAAGTGCTCCTGGAACTGGCGGACCTTGGAGTACTTGAGGGAGGTGGAGCGGACGATGTGCACCAGGCACCTGGGGGGGCGGGGGAAACGCAGGCTGCAGCCCCTCTGCTGGGCCCGAGCGGAGGCTCCTCCCGGTGCCTCCCGCCCTGCCAAGCAATGGCCCGGGAGGCGCCGGGGGTCCCGCACTCAGGCAGCCCTGCTTAGAGTCCAGCTGGGCCCGCCCGCTCAGTCTGGGGCAAGCTCAAGGGCAGGGCTGCCAGCAGGAGCTGGGCCACAGCTCCCCCCACTGCGGGGCTGGGAGAAGGGCGCCCATGGGTGGAGAAGGGCCTTTCCCCGGGTTCCCCAGCCCGAGGCGCCAGGCCTGGGCCTGCACCCAGAGGGACAAAAAGCACCTCCTCAGGCCTGGGATGCGAATCACCCTCCCAGCAACCTCAGGGGGTTCGGAACCATCAGCTGGTCAGTGAGGAAACCGAGGGTCAGGGCGGCCAGAGGACACAGGACAGGCCACTCCCCGGCCAGCTGGGACTCCAGGGCCTGGGCTCCATCATCCCCGATGGGGCAGAGCCAAGGGCGTCAGAGGGAACAAAGGTGGGTGCCTGGCTCACCCAGCCCTCCCACTCTGCCGACGGGGGGCACCAGCCTCGAGGCTCGTCTGATGAGTGACCTGCTCTGAGCCTCAGCCTTCTATCTGCATGCCACTCAGCATCTCTGCCCTCACAGGACTAGGGGACCGTTCTGCTGCCCCGAAGGGTGCTTGGAATGGAGATGGTCTGTCTCTCCAGAGGTACTGCCTCTGAGTCCCACATTCTGCCCCTGTCCTGACGCCCTCCATCCACCCTCTGACCTCAGCTGCCCCCCAGGCCCTGAGCCGCCCGGGAGCCTCTCCATGCCTGTCCCAGGCCGGGCCGGACCACACTCACTTGTTGTTGTAAAAGCTGTGCTTGGCGGCCAGGTTGGAGCAGACAGCCGGAGAGTCCTTTGTGCCTTTGCTGATGATCCGGGGTTTGCTGTCAAAGCAGATCTGCCCGGGGAGGGCTGAGCTGGAACCCGGCACCGCCACCAGGGCAGGGCGGGGGGGGAAGGGGGGGGAATGGGTCCCTGGGAGCCCTGCTCTGAGTCTGGGAGGTGGGGAAGGGCGTCCAGGCTCTGTGGTCCCCGCCTCTCTGCTCCTGCTCACAGGTAACCGGCCCAGCTCTCTGCGCCCGCCCCTCACTGGGCTGGATTCACCCTGCCGTGCCGAGGGCAGGGGCTACCCCACGCCTCAGCCTCAGTTTCCTTAATCACAGGGTCTGTCCCACAGGCTCCCCGCGGGGCTCAGGAAGGATGTGACCACACGGCAGGTGCTCTGTACACGCAGCCGTCCGACTGGGAGCGAACACCGGGCTGCTGCTCTCCGCTCTGCCTGCCGCTGGGGGGGGGGGGGGGGGCTGTGGAATGGATGGGGGGGGGGGCTGAGCTGCCCAAACCCGGCTGGCATCCAGGACCAGCACTCTCACTCCACAGAGGGGACCCTCCCAGGCCGTGGCTGGTGGGGAGGCAGGGCCCAGAGGGCCTTCTGGGACAGCTCTGGGGGGGATGGACAGCAGCCTGCGGTGCTGGCCGGGTCGCAGCTGGCCTCTGGGTCTGAGGACACCCCGGGGGAGGATACGGCAGGGAAGCAGGCAGGGAGGGGCAGTGGGCACAACCAGGCAAGGCGGTGAGGAGGGAGGAGAACCTACAGCGCCGGCCCCAGCCCCGCCCCGCCCGGCCCCAGCCTCAGTTTCCGCTGCCCTCGTGAGGGTGGACAGGATCGGGCTCCTGCATGACAGCTGCTGAGCCTAACAGCCTAACAGTCTGAGGAGTATGGGATCCAGGGCCAGGCCTCCCACCCCGTGCTCCAGGGCTGCCTCTCAGGGGGCTGCGCCCGGGACCGCCCGGCGCGGACTGGGCCTCCGCCCGGGGGGGGGGGGGGGGGGGTGCGGGCGGGGGCGGTGGGGTGCGGGGAGGGGAGGGGGCGGAGGAGGGCGGCCGCGGGCGGGGGCGGGGAGGGAGGGGGGCGGAGGAGGGCGGCCGCGCGGTGGGGGCGGGGCGGTGGGGGCGGGGCGGGGGGGCGGGGAGGGCGGGGGGCGGAGGAGGGCAGCGGCGGGCGGGGGCGGGAGCGGAGGAGGGCAGCGGCGGGCGGGGGCGGGGGGGGCGGGGAGGGCGGGGGGCGGAGGAGGGCAGCGGCGGGCGGGGGCGGGCGGGCGGGGGCGGAGGAGGGCGGCCGCGGCGTACCTCGCAGAGGAAGGTGAAGATGCCCTGGTGCTCCTTGAGGAGCTTGGCGATGGTGAGGCTGCCGCGCTTGACGCCCCCCAGCGGGTCGAAGAGCAGGTCGCGGTTCAGGGTGCCCTTCCGCTCCTCGGTCCACACGTCGATCTCCTCCTGATGGTAGGCGAAGGTGCAGTTATCCCCGTACTTACAGTCCTGCTTGTTAATCATGTCTGCAAAGAGCAACAGGACACACGTTCTGCCAGGCGGGAAGGCGGCCCCCTGCGCCTCGGGGGCACCGCCGGCCGGTGCGCACGTGGGCGGAGCCCTGCCCGCCAGGGGGTCGGGGGAGGGGGCATCCTCTGAGCTCTGCCCCTGGCGGGTGGGGGTGGGGGTCACATCTTCATCTGCAAAACACGCCATCCTCAGGCACCCTGGAGTCTGAGGGTGCTGAGCGCGGGGACGACACGGGGACACACCAAGCACGAGCGGCGCGGTGGCTGTCGCACTGACATGGAGACGCGCCCAGGCGCTTGGCGGAGGGAGAGAAGAACCGTGTGTATGACTGTCTATTCCACTTCAACCGAGGTGACACAGCCAGGGGCGAGGCAATGGCAACAGAACACTTTTTAAAAGCTGACATTTGTTGTCCTGGCCAGTTCGGCTCAGTGGATAGAGCGTCGGCCTGTGGACTGAAGGGTCCCAGGTTTGATCCCGGTCAAGGGCATGTATCTGGGTTGCGGGCACATCCCCAGTGGGGAGTGTGCAGGAGGCAGCTGAATTGATGTTTCTCTCTCATCAATGTTTCTAACTCTCTATCCCTCTCCCTTCTTAATATATTTTTTTAAAATCAATTAAAAAATATATATGTATATTATATATATATAAAAATATACATATATATGTTAAAAAAAAAAAAAAAAAAAAGGTCCCAGGTTCGATTCCGGTCAAGGACACACACCTCGGTTGCAGGCTCCTCCCCAGCCCCGGCCCTGGTCAGGGCTCGTACGGGAGGCAACCTTGATGTTTCTCTCTGTCTTTCCCTCTCTCTTCCACGCTGTCTAAAAGATCGATGGGGAAATTCCCTCAGGTGAGGATAAACAAAAAATAATAACAATAAAAATAAAAAATAAATCAGAGCTAACATGTATGGAGCCCTGCTCCGTGCCAGTCCTCAGCGCTGTCCACGGTTCTTCCCGCACCTCCCACAGCCGCGGGCGGGCCCTGCCAGGACAGGCTGGCTCTCTTCCCTCAGAGCGCGGCCAGCAGCTCTGAGGGACTCCCCAGCGCTCCTGCCCGGCTGCGGAGCCGGCCGGCGTCGCCCTCTCCCGGCGGTGCGTCCTCCCTGGGCCCCGCCGCGGGAACGGCCGCCCGCGGGCACCCACCTTTGCACAGGTAGTAGGAGCCCACGAAGCTGGTCTTGGTGGGCCGAGGCCGGATCCGCTTCCAGGTCTGGTCCTCGGAGCTCCGGAGCCGGCCGAGCAGGATGTCCCGCTTGCACTTGTGCTCCAGGCCCTCGCGGTAGGTGTAGTCGCCGGCCCTGGGGCCTGGGCAGGGGGACAGGGGCGGTAGGTGTAGTCACTGGCCCTGGGGCCTGGGCAGGGGGACAGGGGCGGTAGGTGTAGTCGCTGGCCCTGGGGCCGGGACGGGGGGACAGGGGCGGTGACTCGGGGAGCAGAGGGCGGGGTGTGTCGGGGAGCGGGGAGGCAGCCAAGGAAGAACTTCCTGCGGACACAGCCATCGGCCACGGTGGCTTCTGCTCTGGGGGGTGACCAGGCAGGGCGATGTGCTAGGGGTGGGCCGGGGGGTCTGGCAGCAGGTGGGGGACAGTAACTGGGTGACCCTGAAGGCCCCGCCAACTCCAACACGCTGAGGGAGGATGCAGCCCGCTGACATGTCTGACCTGGGATCCCATATCGCCTAGAACTTCCGGCAGAGAAACCCCGAGTCTGAGTCCAGAATCCTAACCAAGGTCTAGTCTAGAGGCTCTCATGTGAGAGACTGGGTGAGCGGAAAAGCATCCCCCACCGCCCCCCTTGGAGCTGGGGTCTACCGACGCCCCTGGGCCATCCAGCCAGTGCCCTCCCAAACCCTTTGCCCCCGAGGTGCTGGGCAGGTGTGCAGTCACCGTGAGAGGCTCTCAGGAGGGCGCGGAAGGCAAAGCTGCGTTCTTGCGTCGGGGGTGGGGGGGTTGGGGAGGCGGCACTCTGCACTCCCCAGCCAGGTCCCCGCCTCCGGGTTGCAGGCGCCAAGATGCACCCCTCACGCCCCCTGGCCTCCCCAGCACTGATGAGAGCCCCAACCTCCACTGTCTCCCTGCTGCTCCTGTGCCCGCCCTGCTCTCTGATGGGCACACGGGGACCTGTCCTTCTGGGTGTCCACGCTGGCGGTCCCCAGCATCCCGGCAGCGGGGCGAGGGGCGGGCGCACGGTACCTGTTTTGGGGTAGCAGAGCTGGCAGGCCTGCTTGAACTCGTGGGTGGCGGCCAAGGGGTTCTTGATGAGCAAGGCGGTGTTGGGCATGGAGGGCTCTGGCTGTGATGGGAGGAAGTCGGGCGTTTTGGGCTCTGGCCGAGGCCGGAGCCACCAGGCCCAGCCGGGCGCCAGCCTGGGGGGGCTCTAGGACCCCCCCACGAGCAGCACGGTAGCCCAGGACCCTCCCTCTTCCTCCACCCTCCCAGCCGGGAGCTCCTCTGACCCAAGAATCCAGAGCATGGGGACTGGAGAAGCCGGGGGATACGGTGATCTCGCCCCAGAGCCCCCCTTGGACACAAGCCCGGCAGGAAAGCAGAGCGAGAGGAGGGGACCCCGTGGGACTGTGCCTGCCCCAGCCTCCAGCTCCCAAGCCCACAGACGAGGGGAGGCTAGGACTTCAGGGGCCACCCAGCTGGTGTGCGGCTGAGGCTGGAGCCAGGCCGCCTGACTCCCGGTCAAGTGCGCGCCCATCGCAGAGCCGGGCTGAGGCCCGAACCCGGGATGTTCCTAACGCCCCTCCCGGGGGTGCAGCCCCTGGTCCCAGGCAGAGGGCTCCCCCACTCTGGAGCCCACAGCCCTCGCCTCCACCAGGTGCGTGGCTGGTCACTCACCGAGGGGGCCGGCTTCTGAGAGCCGCTGGGGGGGCGCGGGTCCTGGGAGCCGGTGTCCTCTGGGCGGGAGGAGACGGGGTCACGGCCTGCTCCGGGGGTGTGAGGGCCCTCCGAGCCCCCTCTGGGTTTCCAACCCACAGACCGCCCAGGCTCCACCTTCTCCTGCTCATGCCGACCCCGAACCCGGCGGTCGGCAAACTCATGAGTCCACAGAGCCAAACAGCAACAGCACCACGACCGAAATTTCTCTTGCGAGCCACATTTTTTCAACTTAAACTTCTAACGCCACTTCTTCCAAACAGACTCCCCCAGGCCGTGGTGTTTGTGGAAGAGCCACACTCACGGAGCCAAAGAGCCGCGTGTGGCTCTCGAGCCGGTTTGCCGACCACGGCCAAACTCTACCCCGGGGACAAGGAAGCACCCCCGCCGGCACAGGTCCCCGCACCCGCACCCCCACAGCCCGGGAGGCAGCCCAGCGCCTCAGCTCGGCCTCACGCGGGTCCCCCCGAGACTAGCTCAGGCCTCCACGGCCCCCGCCCTGCCCGCCCGCCTCCTCTGCCCCTCGGAGACATCCCTCCGTCCATCCGTCCATCTGTCCATCCGTCCGTCCGTCACGGGCCTGTGTGACGGCTCCCCCTGCTGGCAGAAGCCTCCTGCAGGAGGCGCATCACCTTCCTGGGCCCTCTGGGCGTGAGCTCTCCGGCCCCGGGTGTGGAGCCGGACCGGGAAGGGCCCACGGGGGCCTGTGCCTGTCGGGTTCCTGGCTCCCCGCTGTGTGGGACTAAAGGAGCCCATGGCCTTGAACCCTGGGAGGCTGGACAGAGCAGCAGACCACAGGTCTGGAGTCCTGGCCTGTCCCCGCTCTGCCGTGCGATTCCCAACACGATACCGGCCCGGCCCTGAGCCCAGAGCCGCAGGGGACACGGCCTGGCCGAGGGGCAGGGCCCGGCCGAGGCAGACAGCTGAGGCTGAGCCGTGGCGGCTCCTTGTAAACCGTCCGGGGGGAGGGGCGGGGAGGGGCGCAGGCGCCCGGCCTCACCCAGGAAGGCGCCGGGCTTGTCCAGGGCGCCCCGGGCGGAGCCGAAGCTGTCCAGGGCGTCCAGGCGGGTCTCTGAGTAGGGCAGCAGGTCCAGGGAGTCCAGCGCGGAGCCCGGGGGGTCCAGGGCGTCCAGCACCGAAGCGGCCAGCTTCTTGGCGGGGTCCATGACGAGGCCGAAGGAGGCGGGGGGCAGGGGGCTGGAGACGGGGATGGACCCGCCCACCACCGGGGGCAGCAGCGGGGTCCCGCCGGGGAACACGGGGATCAGCTGGGGCAACTCGCTGGGCACGCCGCTGCCAGGCAGGCCGCCCTGGACCAGGGACTGCAGGGGGAGAGCCGGGTCAGAGGACACACCTGCCAGGCTCAGCCCTGCCTGACCCCCAGGAGGAACCAGGAACTGCCCGCCCCCCCCCACTGCACATACTGCAGCTTCCAGTTTCTGCCCCCAAGGCCTCTGTCTCCCCCCGCTGACAGAGAGGGGGCATCCCTCCACCCGTGTGGGACGTGGGGATGGGGCGTGAGGAGGACCGTGGCGGGTCCCAGGCGGGAGGGGGCTCGGAGAGAAGGGGGCTCACCAGGGAGTCCAGGAGGGTGTCCAGCTCCGGACCAAAGACGTCCCCGTCGGACAGGTCGTCCAGGCCCTCGGAGCTGGGCAGCGCCCTGCTGCTGCTGCTGTCCAGGGGCGCCAGCAGGTCCAGCACGTGGGGGAACAGGGGCATCGTGGGGGGCGCGGGGAGGAGGGCCGGGGAGCCTCGCAGGTCCACGTAGCAGTCTGTGGGGCCCGGGGGGGGGGGGGTGCTCAGTGGCTGCAGGAGGTCCTGCCCTGAGGTCCTCCCCCATCACCCTCCTCCTCGCCCAGCTCCTGCCCTAACCCGGCCTGCCGCCGGCCGGACCCAGTGGCCGAGGCTCAGCCAGTGCAGGGAGTGGGGAGGGTCCCAGTACGACAGCGTGTCCCCGATGGGCCTGGCGCAGGGCCTGACTAGCCCAGTCTTGGCAAGCTGTCTCTCCTGGGGGGGCACCTCTAAAGTGAGCTTCCGGGGAGCCAGCGGGAACAAAGGCAGGGACTCTGACAAGGGGGCCGGGGGGAGGGGGCAGAGTGGAGGACATGGGACCAGCACCCTCACTCTGAGAGAGGGCTCTTCCCGATCCCACCATTTGCTCTCCTGTTTCAGGGAGTCCCCAGGGCGGGGACCCCCAGGAGCCCTGTCTGCAGGGCTGGGCTGGCCGAGGCCCGTCTCCACCCGTCCCCTCGGGAGAGGGACACACCTGTCTCGATGTCGTCGATGGAGCCCAGGCCGTTGGAGATTCCCTGTGGGAGGAAGGACGCCGTGGGTCAGGCAGACCCGGGCTGGGAGTCCAGGGGGCCAGCGCTCGGGGTGTCGCCTGGGCCCGAGGGACGGCTGCTGCCATTGACCACGGGTCTGGGCAGGACGGCCAGGAAGGCACCAGAGGGCCACTCGCATCACCAGTGTCCTGCCCCGTGGGCCCTGCCAGCGCCCGATCGCGCACATCCAGCTCCAGCACTGACGTCACTCGTTTACAAACCACCAGGCTGCCCGTGGCTATGGCAGCCCAAACAGACTGGCACGTTCATTCATTCTGTGCGAGCACTCAAGTCTGTGCGAGCTAATCGTTCCTGGTCACATGCCCCGGTGAGTGACGGTTACACACCAGGTGAGGTCCCGCCTGCCTCCACGCAGCCTGCGAGGCCCCCACGGGCGAAGCCCCGCCTCCCGCGGCCCAGGCACGGGGGCCCCTGGGATGTCGGAGCGGGTGGACGGCAGAGCTACAGCCCAGGAGGGAGGCTGCTGCAGCCGTGCTGTGTGACGCTGGCCACGGCCCTGCCTGCGCTGGCCTCAGCCTCTCCTTGTGGGTCACCAGGCAGGACACAGGCTCCACCGGCCCTCCAGCCTGTCCCTCCTCGTGCAGAAAGCCTCCAAGGCCGCCGGCAGCCCGTGTGCGTGAGCAGCGGGGGAGTCGTGCGTGCGCTGAGCCTGCCATGCCCACGAGGAGGCCCGCGTGGCCGGCCCCAACCCCCTTCCTTCCCTCCTGCAGCCGTGGTCTCCTTTCTCCAGGGGCCACGGGCATCCCTGAGGGTCCCCTGCAGGCACCCCTCCCACCACCAGCAGCACCGCCTGTCCCCGCGCCGTGCGCCCCAGAGGGGCCCTCACAGGCCTGGCTCGGGCCCGGGCCCGGGCTGCAGTCACCCCATTCCCAGAGCGGGCGCCCGGCTCAGCAGGGGGACGAGGAGAGACTGAGCCCTGGCACCTGCCGCCTGAGCTCACAGACGCCCAGGGAGTGGGCTCAGAGCTCCGTGATGGACAAACCCGACAGGCTGCGCCCAGAGGTGGGGAGGGAGGCGTGGGGCCCGGCCCCCCCTACCTGGTCTGCCACACCAGCCGCAGTGCCGTTACTGAGCAGAGAGAAGGTCTCCAGTTCCTGCAGAGATTGGGGAGCGGGGAGGGGAGAGGTGAGGATCTGGGGAGATGCTCAGGCTCCATCACCCAGACGGGCGGTCAGGGTCTGCGGTCCTTCCCAGCTCCCTGCCCCGGGGCTGCTGGAGCCACCCCACTCTCTCTGGTCATATCGGGCGTCTGCTTTCTGCCAGCACGACCTGAGGACTTCCGAGCACACACTCCTCCCGGGTGCCAGCGCCAACGCATCCTGGCGTTTGGACCCTCTGAGGCGGGCACCACGGTCCCACGCTCCAGGCGCAGAGAGAACTCACGTGCTCAAGGTCCCAGCCAGACTCAGAGCCGGACCCTGCCTACGGGCAGCTTCCTGGCACACAGGAGGTGCCCAGTGAACCGCAGGGACCCCAATGCCATGGGGGTGACCTGGGGCTGAGGGCGGGCTGTCGGCGGAGGCCCAGGCAGGAGGGAGCGGCCCGCCCGGCCGGTGTCAGGGGGGCCTCGAGGCCCTAACGATGTTGACGGCCGTCCGGGCTCTCAGCCAGCGAGCGGGAGGGCCGCCTACTGCCACTCCCTCCGGCCCGGCCTGGCCTGGCCACCTCACCTGCTTCTCCCCCAGGCGCCTGGCCCCCTCTTCCGATCTCCCCGCCTGCACCCCCGGCCCCCGGCCCCCAAGCCCACCCACCTGGGGCCTCTTGTACGCCTTCCGGACTCGCAGCCCCAGCTTCTGAGCCAGCTCCTGGCCCAGCTGCGTGACGCTTTCATCCTGCGGAGACAGACACGCGGGTGGAGCGGTCCGTCCGTCCGTCCGTCCACCGGCTCGCCGGCGGGGCCCGCCGCCTGGTGCCGCCTGCGAGGGGGCCGCGGGCAGCCACGCTGCGGACGAGGAGCCAGCCCCGGGAGGGGACGTGGCTGCCCAGGACACGGCGAGAGCGGGTGGGGCAGGGACGACACCGCGCTGCTGTCTTTTCCGTTCAGGGAGAGCAGCGGGGTGGTTTTTGTTTGCATTAACACTGACCCTTTGCCGGACACGGTGTTCGGAAAACTTTCCCTGTGGTTCTACTTTTTGTGTACTGTTCCTGCTCCCCCAGTGCAGTGCGGCTCACGGGGGGACCTCTCTTTGGACAGCTGTCCCCCATCCACACAGCAGTCTCCCGCAGTCACAGCAGGTCCGAGTCGCCCGGCTGTCACAGCGCCGGCCCCGGAGGGAGGGCAGGTGGCTGTACCGCCGTCCAGCGTGGCGAGGGCAGTAACGAGCCTGAGGACAGTGCCCGATGAGGGCGCCCCGCGCTCTCGCTGTGTGACCTGTGTGACTCGAACGGCCTTGCCTGGCTTTCTGACCCCCTCCCCGGCACAGCCCTGTGATGCACGGTATGTCAGCACCCCCACTTTGCAGGGGTGCAAACCAGGGCTCAGAGAGGCCACGCCATGTGTCCAAGGTCGCACAGACAGCAGGTGGCAGGCCCGAGATCAGGACCCAAAGCCAGGCCAGCAGCCTGCACCCAGCTCCTTGACCATCGTGCAGTGATTCCTCTCTGCTCCGCTCACCCACATCCTTCTTGCTTCTCCCAGCCCCACCCAAACCCCGCCCCCTCAGGGAGTCCGCCCAGTCCTTCCAGGAAGCACTGACCCACCCCAGTCCTCTCACGCATTGCTTCAGGGACGAAGCAGGATGGACACCGTATAAACGTGGGGCTGATACGCAGAGAGGGGCAGTGACTGTCTACAGCCACGCCAGGGGGCCATGGCGGAGCCAGCCCTGACCTGGGACACTTCCATGCGTCTCCGAGTAGACGGTTGGCCCCCAAAAGGCACAGACTGGGCACCGTGTGGGCACTGAGTGGGTACTTGCTGAGTGGGTGGATAAATGGGGAGGGGGTGTTGTGCCCAGCACGCGTGGGCTGGGGCAAGCAGTGCTCTCTGTTGGCCATTTCTGATCGTCTCCTCCCGACCTAACGACAGCCTGGCCACTGGGACCCCACACAGGGGGGACCCCCTGTAGCCTCACTGCCACCTGCACTCCGAGTGTCTCACCCACGGACCCTATGAGCAGACTGCCTGGTTCAAACCTCAGCTCTGCCGCCCCCTAGCAGTGACGCCGGGGAAGTGCCTTCCTCTCTGTCCTCGTCTTTAACACGGGGGTAACTGCATCCACCTCCAAGCCTTGTTTGTCGCGACGGAGCTAACACAGCGTGTCTTTAGCAACAACGCCTGGCCCGGAGCCCGGTGCTCACAAAAGCACCTGCAGCTGCAGGGACAGCACGCCGAGGCTCAGGAAGGCGGGGGCGGGCGCAGAGCCGCACTCACGTGGGGCAGGGCCAGCGAGCAGCGGCTGCTGCACTCGTAGGCCTCCTTGTGGCGGCCCAGCTCGTTGAGGGTGCGCGCCTTGCGGAACAGCGCCCGGATGTTCTCGCCGTCCAGCCTCAGCGCCTTCTCGCTGTCCTCCAGCGCCTTCTCGTACAGGCCCTGCGAGCGGGAGAGGGAGGAACGCCGGCTGGTGGTTCCACTTGGTCACGCACGCACTGGTTGGCTCCTGTATAGCCCTGGCCAGGGATGGAGTCTGCAGCATTGGTGTATGGGGTCCATGCTCTGACCACTGAGCCCCTGGCAGGGCTGGACAGCAGCATCCCTTAAAAGCTGTTACTACGTCAGGGCTTTGAAAGCTCCCGGTGAGCTGCCGTGCAGCCGGGTGAGGTCAGACGGGAGGATGCGCAGCCGGGGGCGTGGCAATGGGGGGGCGAGGAGAGGGGGCGGCTCACCATGGGGGAGGGGCTGGGGGAGGGGGCGGGGGAGGGCACCGCTCACCATGGGGGAGGAGGCGGGGGGGGGCGGGGGAGGGCACCGCTTACCATGGGGGAGGGGGGGCTCACCATGGGGGGAGGGGCGGGGGGATGGGGAGGGGCGGGGGCGGGGGAGGGGACCGCTCACCATGGGGGAGGGGGGCGGCTCACCATGGGGGCGGGGCGGGGGGCGGGGGAGGGCACCGCTCACCATGGTGAAGTAGCAGGCGGCCCTGTTGACGTGCAGCTTGCACAGCAGCTCCCGGGGCAGGTGCACCTGGTCGGAGGCGGCGTAGTCGGCCACGTTCAGCCCCTCCATGTACTGCCCCAGCGCCTGCTTGTGGTCCTTCTCCCGGAACAGGTCGTTGCCCTCCGCCAGCAGGTTCTGCACCAGCTTGAGCAAAAAGGCCTGGGGGGGGAGGGGTCTCAGGGGCTTTCCCCATCCAGCTGGCTCCCACACTCCCCCCTTCACCATCCCCAACTGGCCACCGGGCCCCACGCCCCTCCCCACCCCCACGCCCCTCCCCACCCCCCACACCCCTTCCCACCCCCCACACCCCTCCCCACCCCCCACACCCCTCCCCACCCCCCAAACCCCTCCCCACCCCCCACACTCCCCCCTTCACTATCCCCACCCGGCCACGGGGCCCCACGCCCCTCCCCACCCCCACGCCCCTCCCCACCCCCCACACCGCTCCCCACCCCCCACACTCCCCCCTTCACCATCCCCACCCGGCCACCGGGCCCCACGCCCCTCACCACCCCCACCCCCCTCACCACCCCCACCCCCCTCCCCCTCCCTACCCCCATGCCCCTCCCCACCCCCCACACCCCTCACCACCCCCCACACTCCCCCACAGCACCATCCCCACCCGGCCACCGAGCCCCACACCCCTCACCACCCCCACGTCCCTCACCACCCCCCACGCCCCTCACCACCCCCACGCCCCTCACCACCCCCCACGCCCCTCACCACCCCCATGCCCCTCCCCACCCCCACGCCCCTCCCCACCCCCCACACTCCCCCCTTCACCATCCCCCACACTCCCCCCTTCACCATCCCCACCCGGCCACCGGGCCCCACACCCCTCACCACCCCCACGCCCCTCACCACCCCCACGCCCCTCACCACCCCCCACGCCCCTCACCACCCCCACGCCCCTCCCCACTCCCCATGCCCCTCCCCACCCCCCACGCCCTTCCCCACCCCCATGCCCCTCCCCACCCCCACGCCCCTCACCACCCCCCACACTCCCCCCTTCACCATCCCCCACACTCCCCCCTTCACCATCCCCACCCGGCCACCGGGCCCCACACCCCTCCCCACCCCCACCCCCCTCCCCACCCCCCACGCCCCTCCCCACCCCCACGCCCCTCCCCACCCCCACGCCCCTCCCCACCCCACGCCCCTCCCCACCCCCACGCTCCTCACCACCCCCCACGCCCCTCACCATCCCCGCCCGGCGGCGGCACTCACCTCATATTCTTCTTGCTTTAGGGGGAGTGTCGACCTGGTGGGAAGAGGGGAGGAACACGAGGCCTAGTGAGGAGGGACCCGGCCGCATGGAGGACCAGGCGCCAGGGCCGCGGGAGGGAGAGAGCCGGTGCTCCAGGCAGGCGGCTGTCCTCGGCCTGAGAGACCGGTCCTCTGGGGATGGCCGTGCCCCACCCCAGACCTGCCCTGCGGCCCCAGCCCCCCTCCCGTCCCCGAACAACAGGACCGCCCAGAGCCTGCGCCCCCAGGACTCTCCAGTCCCGTGCGGCTAACCAAGCTCCCGGTCTCCGAACCCCAGCTTTCTCATCGCGAACTGGAGACGAGGACCCTCCCTCCTGGGCCGCGGGGAACACTAACAGCGATGGGCCGAGGCCCGCTCGGAGCCCGGGCGTGTGCCCGTCATCCTTACGCTGGGCAAAGCAAGTGGGAGCACCGCCGAGCCCCGGGGACAGTCCCGATTTTTGACAACGTGTCCCGCGGTGTTTTAAAAAAGTCACGATTTAAAAAAAAAAAAAAAAATCGGCCGGGACCGGTTTGGCTCAGCGGTAGAGCGTCGGCCTGCGGACTGAGAGGTCCCGGGTTCGATTCCGGTCAAGGACATGTACCTTGGTTGCGGGCATATCCCCGGCGGGGGGTGTGCAAGAGGCAGCTGATCAATGTTTCTCTCTCATCGACGTTTCTAACTCTCTGTCCCTCTCAATTCCTCTCTGTGTAAAATCAATAAAATATATATATTTTTTAAAAATCGGGACTTTTTTAAAACGCCGCGGGACGCAGGACACATTGTTAGAAATCAGGATGTCGCCGAAACCGGTTTGGCTCAGTGGAGAGAGCATCGGCCTGCGGACTGGAAGGTCCCAGGTTCGATTCCGGTCAAGGGCATGTACTTGGTTGCGGGCACATCCCCAGTGGGGGGTGTGCAAGAGGCAGCTGATAAATGTTTCTCTCTCATCCATGTTTCTAACTCTCTATCCCTCTCTCTTCCTCTCTGTAAAAAAAAAAAAAAATCAATATAAAAATATATAGTAAGAGATGATAAACTCTTTTTTAAAAAAAAAAAGAAAATCGGGACTGTCCCGCTTACGGCAGGGGAGGTGGAACACGGGACAAGGCCAAGGGTGACCAGGGCCAGGGAGCTCGGGTGCGTGTGGGGTTCGCAGCCCCCGAGCCCCTGCCCTGCCAGCCCCTTCCCAGCGCCCCCCACCTCCCCACACCCCAAGGCACCGGGGACCGGACGGCAGAGGAGCGAGCGGCGGCGGCGGTGCACTCACTGGATGAACTGCAGCCCCTTCTCGATGTCCGCCTTCCGTCTCTGCCTCTCCATCAGTCTCTGGGGGAGAACGGCCGTCAGTCCGCGGCGGGGCCGGGCCACCCGCCCCACCACGGACGCGCCTCGCTCCTCCCTTTTCCCGGGCGCAGAGGGCAGCGCCCCGTCTCGGGCCTCCCTGGCTGAGCCGCGCCACGCAGCCCCTGCCCCCCACGCCGAGTCCCCCGCACGTGGAGTTTGCCGAGCGCCCTCGACGGCCACGGGGCTGCATGGGGGCCCGGCCCTTCCCCACAGCATGGCCTGGGCTGCAATGCTGCGCGGGACCCCCTCAAGTTCAAGGGGAAAAACCCAAGCTCCCCAAGCTCGGGCTGGGGAGAAGAGACAGAAAAAGCAACACGATGCCCCTGAACAGAGATACAATGGAGCGCCACCACCGGACCACGCGCCGGCTACGCACCCGGCCACGCACCAGGCCACTCTGGGCCACGCACCCGGCCACGCGCCAGGCCACTCTGGGCCACACGCTGGGCCATGCGCCAGGCCACGCGCCAGGCCACTCTGGGCCACGCACCAGGCCACACACCGGGCCACGCACCAGGCCACTCTGGGCCACGCACCAGGCCACACACCGGGCCACGCACCAGGCCACTCTGGGCCACGCACCAGGCCACACACCGGGCCACGCACCAGGCCACTCTGGGCCACGCACCAGGCCACACACCGGGCCACGCACCAGGCCACTCTGGGCCACGCACCAGGCCACACACCGGGCCACGCACCAGGCCACTCTGGGCCACGCACCAGGCCACACACCGGGCCACGCGCCAGGCTACTCTGGGCCACACGCTGGGCCACGCGCCGGGCCACGCGCCAGGCCACGCGCCAGGCCACTCTGGGCCACGCACCAGGCCACACACCGGGCCACGCGCCAGGCTACTCTGGGCCACACGCCGGGCCATGCGCCTGGACACGCACCAGGCCACGCACCAGGCCATGTGCCAGGCCACGCGCCAGGCCACGCACCGGGCCACGCGCCAGGCCACGCACCGGGCCAGGCTCTTATTGAACCTTTGACCAGCACAGCTCGGGGGCAGGTATCATTCTGCCCATCTCATCGAGGAGGAGGAGCCCCACCACGAGCTGGCGCGCCGCTGAGGCCGGATTTGAACCCCGGCCCCTCTCCTTTCATGCCCCCCACCCCCGGCCCCTTCACTCAGCCCTACGTGCACCATCTTCATACAGTGCGTGCTGGTGAGAGAAACAGATGAATGCGCAGCAACTCACCCAACCCGTGATAAGAAGAACTGACCCTGACACGTTAGCGATCAGACAGTAACACGTGTGGACAGGTGCTGAGGAGTAACCACGTGCGGGGTTGTCACGGTTTACACACAGTTCCTTCCCGAACGTTACTCCCCGCACCGCCCTCAGGAGGGGCTGCCACCATAGCCCATTTGGCAGAGGAGGAAACAGAGGCAGAGAAGTTAGAGAGATCTGCCCGAGGCCACACAGTGCCTCCTCGCGGCCACCTCCCCGTCATCCCGCTCCGTCCACAGGGGCTCTCTTCCCATGCAGGTCTCCAGTCCGAGGCGCCGGCTCCCACAGGGACACACGCTCTCTCCCTTGCACTTGGTCACCTCGATGACTCAATCTGTCCGCCACCTCCCATATTCCAGGTTCCTGTCTCTGGCTTTCTGGGTAGAGCCACCTGGATGTCCAGTGACTTCCATGCCTCTCCCAATCCTAGGCTCTACCTAGAATGCCCACCCCCACCGCACACACCTACCCGACTCCATTCGTCCTGCAAGACCCAGCTCAGAGGCTCCGTATCCACAGAGTCCTCCTGGGCCCCCCCCCTGGGGTGCTTGATGCTCAAACTCCTGACATCCCAATCTTTCAAAAAACGCCGAGGGACCAGATGATGATGATCGCTGAACGCATAATAATCTGGCCACTCAGTGTGTATCCTATAGAATAAAGGCTAAGCCAGAACCGGTTTGGTTCAGTGGATAGAGCGTCAGCCTTCGGACTGAAGGGTCCTGGGTTCGATTCCGGTCAAGGGCATGTATCTTGGTTGTGGGCATATCCCCAGAGGGGGGTGTGAGGGAGGCAGCTGGTTGGTGTTTCTCTCTCATCCATGTTTCTGACATTCTGTCCCTCTCCCTTCCTCTTTGTAAAAAAATCAATAAAATATATTTTAAAAAAAAGAATAAAAGGCTAATATGCAAATTGTCCCTCAACCAGGAGTTCAGCCAGCAGGCAGGCCCGCCAACTACCTATGTCCCCTCCCCCTGACCAGTCTGTGGCCACACACAAATTCATGCACCAGGCCTCTATATATATTCCCCCCCTCCGAGCTAATAAAAGAGTAATATGCAAATTGACCATCACTCCAACACACAAGGTGGTTGCCCCCCTATGGTCAAAGATGGCTAACCCCATGTGGACACAAGATAGTTGGCAGGGGAGAGCAGTTGGGAGTGACCAGGTCAGCAGGGGAGGGGAGTTGGGGGTGACCAGGCCTAATAGGGAAGGATAGTTAGGGGGGACCAGGCCTGCAGGGGAGGGTAGTTGGTGACGAGTACACCTGAGGCCAGCAGAGGAGGAAAGTTAGAGGCAACTAGGCTGGCAAGAGGGCAGTAAGGGGTGACTGGGCCATCAGAGAAGGGCAGTTGGGAGAGACCAGGCCTGCAGGGGAGGACAGTTAGGGGTGACCAGGCCTGCAGGGAGGACAGTTAGTGGCAATTGGGCTGGCAGGGGAGCAGTTAGGCATTGATCAGGCTGGCAGGCAGAAGCCGTTAGGAGCAGTTGGGAGCCAGCAGTCCTGTAAGAGGGATGTCCCAGAATTGGAGAGGGTACAGACTGCCCCTCCACTGCCCGGGCTGTCGCTCAGGCCCTCAGCATCTCCTGCCCGCAGCCTCCAGGAGGCCCTCCCACCTGCCACGGGCTGGCGCCCAAGGGTCTCTGTCTCACACACGTCAGCGCCACGCCCCAGCTCAACACCCTTCCTGGCGTGCGTGTGCACACACGCACACACACACACACGCAAAAAAAATGCAGGTTTTTATAAAAGTTGAAAACCGAATACACTTTGTCGCCTAGTGATGTAGCAATGCCAGTGTTCTGGGCCTGATAAGATAACTATATATTACCATCCGGGAAAGCCGGGTAGGGAACTCTGTGCTATTTTTGCAAGTCCCTGCGAGTAAAAAGCTAAACAAACAAACCCTCCATGACACCTGCTGGCAGGGCGCGCCCGGGCACACAGCACTGGAGGCACGGCCTCCCTCCAGCCGGCCCGGCCCGGCCCCTCACACTCTGGCACCGTCCCCTCCGAGCTGCCCACCGTCTGGAACGCCCTCGTGCCCGGCCTCCTCCCCGCCCTGGCGTCCTCCGCGGGAGGCCTGCTCCCCCAGGCCTCGCTCAGCCCCAGCTCCCGTGAGCTGCCTCCGGGCTGTGCCAGCTCCCTCCACACCAGGAGCCTGAGGACAGAGGCTGCCGCTGGTCACCTCTGGAGCCAGAGGAACAGCCCAGAGCCCGCTGGGGAAGGGGAGCCCCCGGACCCCAGGGTGACGGCGCAGAGGCTGATTTCAGTCCCCGGTCACCGAGCACGTCCTCCTGCAGACACTGTTCCAGGAGCTTTAACCGTGACTCTCAGGCCTTACACATCCCTGCGAAGACACCATCACTACCCCCATTTACAGACGAGGAAGCCAGGCTCCGGGAGGGAAAGGACTGACAGTAAGGGAAGCGCTGGGGTTTGAACCTGGCAGCCACCTCCCAGCCCAGCGTGCTCCTCCCCATCCCCGCGCCCACAAGACGTTGCCAGTCTCAGCCACATGCCACTGCTTGGCACTCACCTGTCCCGGGTTTCTTGAAAAAGCAGCAGCCAGTGCAGAGTGTAGAACACACACACACACACACACACACACACACACACACACACACAAAACCACCACAGGCGTGTGTGTGCACTCATACGCAAACACGCATGCGCATGCATGCGCACACATGTGCTCGTGTGCACGCGTACACAAGCGCACATGCATATACTCACATGCACACGTGCACACGCACATGCACACTACCAGAGGCTGTGTCATCTGCAAGATCCCTGGTGCCTCCCGACTCACCAGCCTCAGTGGCTTACTGGGAGACCTGGGAAGGCTTCTCCCCCATCCCAACCCCACCGTCAGCACCAGTCTGCACCCATCCCACCCCGCAGTGCTGGGGCCTGCCAGCCCACCCTCAGACCCCGGCTCCAAGGTGGCCAGGAAGGGGTTTCGGCTCATTTTTGGAGATTATCCACTGAGCGCCAAGCCCCTTCTAGGGCAGGGGTTTGAACCTGGGGTCCACGAGAGAATCCAGGGGTCCATTTACAAGTCTGTTTGTTTTGTTTTTTAATCCTCACCTGAGAATATTTTTCCCCCATTGTTTTTCATAGAAAGCAGAAAGGAGGAGGGTGTAGGAGAGAGAGAGAGAGAGAGAGAGAGAGAGAGAGAGCGAGCGCGCAGCAATGATGAGAGAGAAACACAGCGACTGATTGCCTCCTGCACTGACCCTAACTGGGGCCAGGGGCCAAACCTGCAACCAGGTGTGTGTCCTTAGACCTGCATGGAACCTGCCGCCCTTCAGGGCCCAGGTCGACGCTCTAGCCACTGAGCCCGCCGGCGAGGGCCATTTACAACTTTTCCCACGAACCTCTGCCTGACATTCAGCATGCCCTTCAGTCATGGACGTAGGCAACCCACCGCTATGGTCTCAGTGCTAGAAATCACTGCTTTGCCATCACATTCCAGCTCCTGCAGACATAACGAAACATCCTCACACTCGTCACAACGCGAAGTTATGGTGCTCTCACCGCTGGCTCTTGCTTCTTAGTGCGCTGATAAAAGCGCGTGGCCACAGGCCCGTTTCCTGCCAGCCTGTGCGTTTCACGTTTAACGCTCCGCCTGACCGGCCAGCGGCAGCGATGATTTAAAAGCTCTGTGCTAAGGAATCAGTTTTTATCCCTCCAATAATCTCACAAGTGGGTGTCATTATCCCACTCCCACAGA